TTCTGAGAAGCGATATTTTTATAAAGAGATGATCTGGCTTTGGGTCTTCTGCTCGAATGAATGTTTTTCTGTTAGAATTTTGTTCCTGCATACTAAAAATTAACTGGCTTCACCCGTGGTCTCTGCTTTTTGGAATTTTTCCGGATATAATTTTGTATCTGATAATCAAATATGATGCAGCAATATTGTCATAATCATTTTCTGACTAAAAAAACAACTATTTTTGCCCAGAACCTATCAATTTCAAATTTTCTTGGCTAAAAATGCGACAAATATCTCTTCCATATTTTTTCTATGTCCTGTTAAAACACGTTTTACCTGTACATTTCATTTATTTGACATATCGGACGCGATATCCCAGCTCGGGATACTTGCGCCTAAATACATTTAGTAGATTATATACAACGAATGACCCGGGCAACGCCCGGGTTTTACCCGATTAAATGCTTTTATTCAAATACTATTCGTTACAATTATAAATTGGCGCCGTGGATGTCATTATTGTATAATATTTAAATGAGTTTTAAAAATTGTAAAAAAAAATGCATCGGCCGGGAATCGAACCCGGGCCGCCCGCGTGGCAGGCGAGCATTCTACCACTGAACCACCGATGGTTATGAAAATTGCCATCCGTGAACTTCAGACAGTGAACTTCACACAGACAGAATAAGGCAATTATATAAGTAGATATATATGAAAAAACAATAGAAAAAAATAAAATATAAGTGAGTCAGGTGTCGATATTAAAAATAAAGAAGGCATCTCCTGACCACGAGCACATGTGCTTTTTAGATGGCAGAGCGCCATCTAGTGGAGCAAAAATAAACTAAGCGTTTATTTAGCTTGCTCCGAGATATTTGGCCAACCCAATTTCTTGATAAATCAAGAAAAGCCATCAACGAACGCGTTTCGCGCTGTTGGCGCTCTTCAGCGTGGAGAAGGCTGTAACCACTCGTGGTCAGGAGATTCCTTTTTATTTTTAATATCAACAACTGACCCACTTATCTTTTTTTTTCTATTATTTTTTCATGTGTTAAGCGTCTTTACGCAAATTTGGCCTTAAAATACCCATTTCTTGATTTTTTGGGAAGCCATTGGGACCAAAAATCATTTTGGTCGCAGTGGTTACAGCCTTCTCCACGCTGACGAGCGCCAAAAGCGCGAAACGCGTTCGTGGATGGCTTTTCTTTATTTATCAAGAAATTAGGTTGGCCAAATATCTCGGAGCAAGCTAAATAAACGTTTAGTTTATTTTTGCTCCACTAGATGGCGCTCTGCCATCAAAAAGCACATGTGCTCGTGGTCAGGAGATGCCTTCTTTATTTTTAATATCAACACCTGACCCACTTATCTTTTTTTTTCTAATATTTTTTCATATATATATATATACTAGCGGATGTGTACCCGGCTTCGCCCGGGTTTTATCCGATTGAAAGTTTGCCTAACGAATATTATATATTATGAAGTATAATAAACAATGCTAAAGATTAGTTTTAATTATTAATCAAGATTGTGTGTGAATATGTGAGAAAAATGTAATATCGTTGTTGTTTTCTTGGCCGACTGTTTTACATATGGTGTTATCTTAAAATTGCTTGTTTTGAATATTTTTTTAGATTGAGTTGAATGAATTGCTGAATTTTTTTTTGTATTTATATATAAATAAAATTAACTCTGTTGATTTTTTTGTATTTAATCGATAACAGCGAAGTTACGCATGTTCAAGTTAGGAAAAATATTTTGATGTTAAGCAAAACCTGCTCCATCTCGTTTTACATAAATGTTGAAAATTTGGTCGAAATTGATGCATTGTAACGAAAGTTTTTAGCGAACACCACTTATGAAATTTCCATTTATATAGAAGATATAATAATATAAATGAGTTTTAAAAATTGTTAAAAAAAATTCATCGGCCGGGAATCGAACCCTGGCCGCCCGCGTGGCAGGCGAGCATTCTACCACTGAACCACCGATGCTTTAAAAATATCAAATTCATTTATCGTCGCGACCAGTGCTGCGCCCTAGCGGTAAAATACTGGAACTAACGCTTTTTGGTTTTTTATTTTTTGAAAAAAGCACATTAAATTTTTTAGTTTTTTGAATAGCCTATATGTTAAACGAAATCTTCAGCTACCTACATGCGAAATTCCATAATGATTGAGTCAGTAGATTTTGCGTGATGCGATAACAAACATCGATTTCGCATTTCATTTTTATATATATAAGGAAGGATATAGTAGAACTTGAAACTCTTCCGGTGTGCAACTTAAGAATAAACGTATCATTAAACGGAAGATAAGGATCTTTTATTTGGAAACGTTACGAGCTTTCGGGCAAACGCCCTTCTACAGGTTTGACGAAAAATCAAGGCGAGAGACAGAGCTATATACATGGGGGTGATTTACATAGAACACAATTTTTAAAGCTTAGCAGTAAGAATTTTAGAATGGAAGTTAATTTTTAATAAGTAACTATTGTAGTGATATGGTAATAAGTTGTTGTATATAAGATTTTTAATTATGTAAAAAGGAATAAATTAGTTTGAAACAAAGATATCATAAATTTCGGGAATTTCTATTTTTCTATTTATGCTTTTAAGTTTGGTGGATACTATGGATTCTAACACTAATCTTTGGTGTAGGTTGGGTATGTTACGGTAATGGATAGTGGGGTGGTTGGTATTAAAAGAGTGGCCAGTGGATGCGACATGCTGATAGATGAGGGAACGTGGGTCGTTGTTATTAATGTTGCGGGTGTGTTCTGACATTCTAATGGCGACGGTTCTACCTGTCTCACCCACATAAGTGGCGGAGCAATGTTCGCATGAGACAGAGTAGACCGCCCCAGAAGAATCCAGAGGACTGAGTTGGGTACTAGTTTTTGTAATGGGGTGTCGGAGAAGTGAGTGGATACTGGGGGTATTAATGAAAAAGGTGCGAATGCCAAATGGCCTAATGAGGCGGGAGATGCTAACTGTTAAGGGAGAATAGGGCAACATGCAGGTAGTCCTGAAGACTGGGGGAGGATTGGAGGGAGCGGGAGAATAGGTATGTTTATTAATGAATGTTAGTGGATAGGAGGCGGCGGTGAGATGGGAGATGATACGGGCTTTTTCTGTGGTTTTAAAGATGGGTAGAGAGCAGTGTGTGTGAAGGCGCCTGGTGAGTGTTTTAACGATGTTAATTTTGTGTACTATGGGACAGAAGGAGTTGAAATGGGTGTAGGTGGGGGTACTGCTATTCTTGTAGTATACTGTGGTGTGGAATGATGCCGGGGTACGTATGATTAAAATGTCTAGGAAGGGAATGATGTGTCCCTGTTCTTTTTCCATGGTGAACGAGAGGTTAGGGTTGTAGCTGTTGAGAGTGGACAGGATGGTTTCTTCATGGTCGGTTTTACAAATGCAAAGGATATCATCGACATATCGTCGCCAGAATAGGATGTCATCACAATGGAGGTTGCAGACCCATTTATCTATTCTGGTCATAACCAGCTCAGCAGCTATGGAGGAGAGGGGGCTTCCCATAGGCGATCCCCTTATCTGTTTGAAATGGATATGGTCAAAGGTAAAGGTGCTCATGTTTAAGCATATCTGTGAGAGGGATGTGATAGAGTTGGTCTTGACGGGATCTGTGTTAATGGAAACCAAAAATTGGTTGAGGCTGTCAATTATCAGGTGATGGGGGAGACTGAGGTATAGGGATGAAACGTCAAATGAACACATGGTGAAGTTTGGGGGGGGGGGGTGTAGGCCGGTTATTTCTTGAATGAGTGTGGGGGTGCTGGAAACTGTGAGATTACTTCTATTGTTGTTTAAAAGAGGTGAGAGATAATTTGAGAGGTACTTAGCTAGGGGGTAGGCGGGAGAGAGGTGATATGCAATGATAGGGCGTAGAGGGACAGAAGGTTTGTGGACCTTGGGAAGGCCGTAGATGTAGGTACCATTGGGGAGATTAGTGGTAAAGGATTTGTGTTCCTCCGTTGAGATGAGTCTGGATCTTTTCATTCGGTTGAGAGAGGACTTGAAGGTTTTTAGTGCTATTGTGCTGTCTTGGGCGGAAATTTGAGAAAAAGTAGCTGTGTCCTGCAATATTTCCAAGATTTTGGCGTGGTACGAAGATCGGTCTAGGATTACGGTGTCAGTGCCCTTATCTGATCTGCTGATGACTATTGAACGTTGTTTCATTAGTCTGCGGAGGGCCTTGGATTCAGTTTGAGAATTTTGGGTTGGGGGGAGAGGTCTCTGGAGTACCCGGGATACATGGTTTCTGATGGCGCATCTGTCTTGATGGTTATGATTCTTAACGGAGGCCTCTATTCCACTGATGATCCTGAATTCATGAATTCAGGTGAATTCATGAATCTGAATTCACAGCTCTCATAGAAAGAACCACGTCAGATATCAAGGTACAAGACCGAAGTATACAGCTTAGACACGATAAAAATCTAGCGTTCTGGTCCCAGAAATACTCCTTCCCACTCGATCGCAAGTATGCCAACCCCGATGCTTCTAACAACATCATCAATCTGTCTTGCGTAACCCTCACCCCTGCTGAAAACAGTCTCCTCTCTAAAGGCCTCAAGTATCGACTTCCCGCCAAACCCGATATACCCAGGATCATCAGTGGAATAGAGGCATCCGTTAAGAATCATAACCATCAAGACAGATGCGCCATCAGAAACCATGTATCCCGGGTACTCCAGAGACCTCTCCCCCCAACCCCAAATTCCCAAACTGAATCCAAGGCCCTCCGCAGACTAATGAAACAACGTTCAATAGTCATCAGCAGATCAGATAAGGGCACTGACACCGTAATCCTAGACCGATCTTCGTACCACGCCAAAATCTTGGAAATATTGCAGGACACAGCTACTTTTTCTCAAATTTCCGCCCAAGACAGCACAATAGCACTAAAAACCTTCAAGTCCTCTCTCAACCGAATGAAAAGATCCAGACTCATCTCAACGGAGGAACACAAATCCTTTACCACTAATCTCCCCAATGGTACCTACATCTACGGCCTTCCCAAGGTCCACAAACCTTCTGTCCCTCTACGCCCTATCATTGCATATCACCTCTCTCCCGCCTACCCCCTAGCTAAGTACCTCTCAAATTATCTCTCACCTCTTTTAAACAACAATAGAAGTAATCTCACAGTTTCCAGCACCCCCACACTCATTCAAGAAATAACCGGCCTACACCCCCCCCCCCCCCCCCCCAAACTTCACCATGTGTTCATTTGACGTTTCATCCCTATACCTCAGTCTCCCCCATCACCTGATAATTGACAGCCTCAACCAATTTTTGGTTTCCATTAACACAGATCCCGTCAAGACCAACTCTATCACATCCCTCTCACAGATATGCTTAAAGATGAGCACCTTTACCTTTGACCATATCCATTTCAAACAGATAAGGGGATCGCCTATGGGAAGCCCCCTCTCCTCCATAGCTGCTGAGCTGGTTATGACCAGAATAGATAAATGGGTCTGCAACCTCCATTGTGATGACATCCTATTCTGGCGACGATATGTCGATGATATCCTTTGTATTTGTAAAACCGACCATGAAGAAACCATCCTGTCCACTCTCAACAGCTACAACCCTAACCTCTCGTTCACCATGGAAAAAGAACAGGGACACATCATTCCCTTCCTAGACATTTTAATCATACGTACCCCGGCATCATTCCACACCACAGTATACTACAAGAATAGCAGTACCCCCACCTACACCCATTTCAACTCCTTCTGTCCCATAGTACACAAAATTAACATCGTTAAAACACTCACCAGGCGCCTTCACACACACTGCTCTCTACCCATCTTTAAAACCACAGAAAAAGCCCGTATCATCTCCCATCTCACCGCCGCCTCCTATCCACTAACATTCATTAATAAACATACCTATTCTCCCGCTCCCTCCAATCCTCCCCCAGTCTTCAGGACTACCTGCATGTTGCCCTATTCTCCCTTAACAGTTAGCATATCCCGCCTCATTAGGCCATTTGGCATTCGCACCTTTTTCATTAATACCCCCAGTATCCACTCACTTCTCCGACACCCCATTACAAAAACTAGTACCCAACTCAGTCCTCTGGATTCTTCTGGGGCGGTCTACTCTGTCTCATGCGAACATTGCTCCGCCACTTATGTGGGTGAGACAGGTAGAACCGTCGCCATTAGAATGTCAGAACACACCCGCAACATTAATAACAACGACCCACGTTCCCTCATCTATCAGCATGTCGCATCCACTGGCCACTCTTTTAATACCAACCACCCCACTATCCATTACCGTAACATACCCAACCTACACCAAAGATTAGTGTTAGAATCCATAGTATCCACCAAACTTAAAAGCATAAATAGAAAAATAGAAATTCCCGAAATTTATGATATCTTTGTTTCAAACTAATTTATTCCTTTTTACATAATTAAAAATCTTATATACAACAACTTATTACCATATCACTACAATAGTTACTTATTAAAAATTAACTTCCATTCTAAAATTCTTACTGCTAAGCTTTAAAAATTGTGTTCTATGTAAATCACCCCCATGTATATAGCTCTGTCTCTCGCCTTGATTTTTCGTCAAACCTGTAGAAGGGCGTTTGCCCGAAAGCTCGTAACGTTTCCAAATAAAAGATCCTTATCTTCCGTTTAATGATACGTTTATTCTTAAGGAAGGATATATTAAGAAAAAGGCATCTCCTTATCGTGCAACTGAAAGTTGCTGATGGCTGGCGCCATCTATCGGAATAAATATCAACTATTCTCGTTGATTTTTAATTATTCCAGAATTGGCCAAATACCCATTCTTGATTAATCAAGAAAAGCTAACCACGGACGCGTTTCGGGCTGTTGGCCCTCATCAGCGTGGTGCAAGCTGTACCTCAACGACCCAAAAAATTGGTCATTAAGGCATCCTGAAAAATCATGAAACGGGTAGTTAAGGCCAGAATTGCGTGAG